CACGCTAGTAAAGGAGGGGGCATTACCACATCTCACGCTAGTAAAGGAGGGGGCATCACCACATCTCGCACTAGTAAAAGGGGGCATCACCACATCGCACGCTATTAAAGGAGGGAGGCATCACCACATCTCACGCTAGTAAAGGAGGCGGCTCACCACATCTCACGCTAGTAAAAGCGCGGCATCACCGATTCTCACGCCTAGTAAAGGAGGGGCATTACCTTCATCTCGCACTAGGTAAAGGGGGCATCACCACATCGCACGCTAGTAAAGGAGGGGGGCATCACCACATCTCACGCTAGTAAAGGAGGGGGCATCACCACATCTCGCACTAGTAAAAGGGGGCATCACCACATCGCACGCTAGTTAAAAGGGGGCATACCTCATGCTCGCACTAGTAAAAGCCGGGCATCCCAATCGCACGCCTTTAAAGGAGGGGCATCACCTCATCTCACGCTAGTAAAGGAAGGGCATCACCCATCTCACGCTAGTAAAGGAGGGGGCATCACTCATCTCACGCTAGTAAAGGAGGGGCATCACCACATCTCACGCTAGTAAAGGAGGGGTGATCACCTCATCTCACGCTAGTAAAGGAAGGGGGCATCACCTCATTTCACGCCCCCAGGCCTAGAACCATCCCCAGACGACATGAACCCGTGTTTAACTATGAGCAGGCCCCCCGCCGCTCGCCTCCTTGCAGCGGGGTATCAGATATAGAGGCGCACGCAGCAGTCACCGCATGCTCACCCGGTCGCAGCACACCACACAGCGGCAGACGGTGGCGCCACCGTACCTGCTCTGCTGCTTCCTGCTGCTGCTGCTGCTGCTGCTGCTGGTTGTGTTCGCGGCCTGCCAGCCCCTTCGGCACGACATTGTGTTACGTTTCTCCCCACTTCCACCTTGCCACGCCCGTTAGATCCGGCACGTACTCCGTCCAACCCCGCCAGTCGCCAGCTCACCTCGCATCGGTCGCGCACCGCGGGGGGGGCGCGGCGGCCGCGTCGCGGCGGCCGGCGCCGACGTTCTCGTCGTGCACCCGCGCTCGCGTCTCGGTCGCCTTCCCCTCTTGCGGAACATGCGGCGGCGCCGCGACCCTCGCCACGCCATCTGAGTTTTTTACGCCGACAGCTCGAAGCCACTTTGTACGGTTGTCGGCTGGTGACTCCTCGTCCTCCGTTGACGGATGAACGCGCGTCGCGCGTTTCCGAGGACACACCGCTGGGCGGGACGACGCAGCGCCGGAGCCCGTCCGCTGTGATCTCGGCTCGATGAACTCCCGCCGCATCTGGTATGCGGGAAACCTAAAGTGGGTGCCATTCGTGCTGGCGGGGCAGGCGGCCATAGTTGCCGCGAGGTTGTGTTCTCGACTCGTCCACTTGGGCGGCCACTCGGGTATCGGCGCTTATCGAACAAATCTGATGATCTGCGGCGTGATGCCGCGGTTTGCGCGGTGACGTCAGCGAATAGCGCCACTGCTGGCTAGCTGCAGCTGTTTTTGATCGTCTGGGAAGCTCGTGCTCGCTTTGTCGTCATGAAACTCGACGACTGCGAACAGTTTCTCTGTAAGAGGAACGAGAGACGGTTGTGAGACTGGAAATTCGCAGCTATAGGAGCGAGAGAGCGGAGAGAGAGAGACGAGAGAGAGACAACTGATGAGGTATATTCGCCCTGAGAGGAGATATCGATGCAGCGAAGGAGGAGAGAGATGAGAGAGAGATGAGGATGAAAGATGACCGAGAGAGAGAGAAAGAGAGAGAGAGAGTGGTGAAGAGGGCGAGGAGAGAGAGAGAGATGGAAAGCATGAGAGATGAGAGAGAGAGAAAGACGTGAGGAGGAGAGAGAGAGCTGAGAAGAGAGAGGAATGCTTGCTGCTGCTACTACTACTACTGACTTGCTGCTGATGATGATCGATTTTGTGATTGCTGCCTGCAGCTGCCTGATGATGATGATTATGACAAACGACGGTGGAATGATGACGTTGTGGTTGCTACTGCCAGCTGCCGCCGCTGCCCGAACGCTGGCTGCCGCCGTCCGCTGCTGCTGCTTTGCTGCTACTGCTGCTTGCTGCTACTGCGCCACCTGTCATTAGATTTGTGCGGTTCTCTTCTTGCATCGATCACAGGCCTCCTATATAGAGGCCGCTTGCGTCCCTCACACAGCGGCACACAGCGGTGGTCACAGCACCGAGCTGAGCGCAGCGCCATCTGTTCGATCTCCATAACACATAATTCTTCATACAACTACATAACTTCACAGGGCAAGTTTCACCAATCGGAAAATCCCAAGTCATGAAAAATTTACGTAAACACTCACACACTACTCGGGCGTAAAAACATTAACAGTAAACATCTCTAAATGATAAAAAAAACTCGTAAAATACACAATCTGCTTGCAGCGTTTTAAAAGAGAATATAAAACAACCGTAACAAGCAAAATAAAAAATCATCAAATCACGATAAAATATTGGCATTCCGTTCGAAAATAAATTTAACAGCTTCAAGAAAAAGAAAAACTTTAGAAGAAGCTGCAGAAAACCAGCGCCTGAGAATGTTTGGTATGTTTGAGCGAATTTCTCCATTGCCTCAGCCTGTTTTGGAGTTCATGGCTGTGATATCCGATCTCCTTCCAGCACGTAAGGAACAATCTGTCCTCGCCCGTAATGTAAATATAAGCACAAGCGGTAAGAGTGTGCTGATTGAATACTCTAAACCTCCCCTACTCCTCTCTACACCCACTTCCCTACCCTAACCGCACCAACACGCACACACCAACACACACCTCTTTAGACAAGCACACACGCACGCAACGCACACACACCGCACACCAACACACACACACACACACACACACACACACACACACACACACACACACACCACGATTCCATGAAGGGCACCATCTAAGGAGTCGAGAGCGAATCGGGTTTAGCTGCACAGATCTAGACTGATGCAGCCAGTATTAGTAAGGCCCTCATCCTTTCTCCATCCTTTCATCATCGACTCTAGCTAATGCCAACAATTAATTCTTTGGCTGGTTGTATTCACGCTGATCACGTCACGTCCAATGAATATATTCATTGACCCCAAAACACACGACCCACCTATAAGAATTCAGTTGGATACCAATGAGCCTCAAGGATCGATCCACGAAAAGCAGGCATAGCTACGGATTAATATCTCATTGCAGATTTGGTGGATAGCATAGAACATCGGCATGCAATATTTTATTTAATAACGATTAAAATAAATCGTCGAGTATCTGTGAAGCAGAGAGAGAGAGAGAGATAAGAAAAGAGAAAGAGAGAGAGAGAGAGAGAGATCGGAAGTCGGACGACTGGGAAGGAGAGCCGGGGAACAGAGAGGAGGCGGGAGAGTGAGAGAGTAGAGAGTCTCTGGCAAATACGGCTCGGTGCGGAAAATGGTAAAGCAATAAATGTTGCACACCAGACCTATGCTGCGCCATCGCCAGGACGTGCTTTGCTATCGTGTGTACGCGCGCGGCAGCAGCATACTAGTAGCATCTACACCACCACCACCAGCAGCAGCAGCAGCAGCAGCCAGCAGCAGCCAGTAGTAGCAGCAGCAGCTACAGCAGTACTGTAGGCATCACCACACCACAACCACCAGCGTCAGCAGTATCACGCAGCAGCAGTGTGCAGCAGTATGTATCTAGTAGCTAATAGTGTTGCTACTACACAGAGCAGTAGCAGCAGCAGCAGCAGGAGCAGCAGCGCAGCAGCTAGTGTTGCCTTACTACGCGCCTCCGGGGACAAGGCGACTGCCCCGCCTCCGGCAATAGCACACACAGCCGGGCCATCGCCTCCTTACGCACCGCCAGCAGCAGCAACGCAGAGAAAGTTTTCCGTGTCTAATTATAACCAAACTGCTGCCCTGCTGTGGCAGCCAGAGAGTGACCAAGGAGAGAGAGAGAGGGGGAGGGGGAGAGAAAGGACGTATACACACGCTGGCTCCATTTTAGGATCTGCTGGTAATACATCCAAGCAGCGTGAGCGATAGCGCGGGGTCTGGGTGGACGGATGGCATAGATGTTTGGGGTTTGGTGGTATGGATGGATGGCGTATGGATGGCATGGATATGGATGGATGGATATGGTTTGATGGAATGGCATGGATGGATGATGATGGCATCGGATGGAATGGAGTGGATGATGATGGCTAGATGGATGCGGGGTCTGGATGATGGATGTCGATGCTGGGCGTCTGCGATAGATGGTGGATGCGGTCTGGATAGTATGGATGGATGGGGGTATGGATGGATACTGCCGCCAGGGTAGAAGCGCCCATTATAACAGCCAAGATCACATCCAAGCTAATGAGGAGGATTCGCAACCCAACGACTAGCTGAGAAGATTCCACGGGAGAAAAACCAAACCACATCTCGCGAGATCACGCGCGTTGCGAGATACAAAACAATCTAATAACGCAACACTTTTAAAAATCAACGATTGCAATGGCGACGGTTTGTTTTCGAATCTCGAAATTCGAATTCGATCTTATAAGATCCTTCTCCTGCTTTGTCTGTCGATGGGGACTGATAGAAACAAAGTAGATCATTTAGGAGATTTAGGAGGAAATTTGGGATAATCTATGTAGCAAGGCTCGCTCTATACTCAACCTCGATCGCCTTGCCGCTATTAGTCAACAAACATGATGAAAACTGCGAGAGGTTTGATCGGCCTTTTACACGATCGGAGATAATATTTACAGATCGCTGTGCTTTGACTAAAGTCCGGCGGAATGAGAACAACTTATAGACTGAGTATTTTTTGGGAAGGAGTGCGGTAGGATAGACGAGGAGAACAAGGGCTGACTTGGAGAGAGAAGAGAAGAGACAGAATAGAATAAGGATATATATATATATATATATATATATAATAGATAGATGAGAGAGAGACTGACGAGAAAGAAGAGAGAGAGAGATATCTCTCTCTCTCTCTCTCTCTCTCTCTCTCTCTCGCTCGCTATAGCTCGCTTCTCACCGTCTCTCGTTTCTCCCAGAGAAACTGTTCGCGTCGTCGAGTTTCTATGACGACAGCGAGCACAGCTTCCCGACGATCAAAGAACAGCTGCAGCTATGCCAGCAGGTGGCGCTATCGCTGACGTCACCGCGCAACCGCGGCACGCGCGGATCTCAGATGTTCGATAAGCGCCGATACCGCGCGCCCAAGTGGACGATCGAGAACCAACCGCGCAGCAACATGGCCGCCGCCGCCGCCAGCGACGATGGCTCCCACTTTAGTTTCCGCATACCCAAGATGGCGGCGGGAGTTCATGAGCCGGAGATCACGCGCGACGGGCTCCCGCGCTGCGTCGTCCGCCCCAGCGTGTTCTCGGACCGCGACGGCGCGTTCTCCGTCAACATGGACGAGGAGTCGACCGCCGACCCGTACAAGTGCTTCGAGCTGTCGCGAAAACTCAAGATGGCGTCGGAGGGTCGCGGGGCGCGCATGTTCGCGGGGAAGGTCGCCGACGGCGAGCGCTGGGTGCACGACGAGACGTCGGCGCCGCCGCCGCGACGCGGGGCCGCCGCCGCGGTGGCGCGACCGAGCGAGGTGAAGCTGGGCGACTTGGCGGGGTTGGACGAGTACGTGCCGGATCTTACGGGAGGTGGCAAGGTGGAGTGGGGAGAAACGTACAATGTCGTGCCGAAGGGCTGGCAGGCGGCGACACCAGCAGCAGCAGCAGCAGCAGCAGCAGGAGCAGCAGGAGCAGGTACGGTGGCGCCACCGTCGCCGCTGTGTGTGTGTGCGACCGTGTGAGCATGCGTGACTGTTGCGTGCGCCCTCTATATCTGATCCCCGCTGCAGGAGGCGGCGGCGGGGGGGCTCTCATAGTTGAAACACGGGTTCACTCGTCTGGGGATGGTTTCATAGGCTGGGGGCGTGATTCTATAACACAACTTATGAATAACACCGCCCCGCTATAGTACGTTAACCCTTTGCTTGCTGAGGATTTCTTCTTCCGTGGAGGAGCGTGGAGGGAAAAAGGAATCTCATAATTTTTGCACCATGATTTCAAAGGACCGTACTTTCCAAAAACCACAGTGAGCACAGCACACCGTCACTATTGAAATCGCCATCGTGAGCAATAGTTTACGATTGAAATATATAAAATCACGTTCGGTTTGTAATATTTAGTATAATTCTGCAAATCGGTGGGCCTTTTGACGCAATAGTTTGCGAGGTAGGCAAAGGTTTAACAGCTACACGTGTGATGGAGGAATGCATCGAACTATACTTGGGATTTATAGCTCACGAGAAATGTTTGCGCGCAGACGAAAGTGATGACGCAATGATGACGTAATGATGACGTATGCATGCTTCTGCGTAGTACGAAAAAAAACTCAAAATGTGAAAAAAATCGATTTATAAACAATTATGAAATATTCGCGACGACACGTCGCGCCACCTATGTCGTCTGCGCCGGTTCGTTGACAGCTGACGTATCCATGGAAACGGCAAGTCGTGATTCGTCACAACGCTATATAGTTAGGAACAAACGCAACACCGACACTCTACTATACATTTTTTACATTAGAAATATAAAAAAAACGAAGCTTTCTGAAGCTGATTAGTTTCTTATCGCTGCGAAAATCACGAGGAATGAAGAAACAATTCGATGAATGAAGAAAATCGAGAGCGGAGGTTCGAGTAAAGCGTCTATCAATACAGAAGGTAAACACAACAATCCACGCATCCATTCATAAAGAACTGTTGTTGGTGGATCGGCTCTCCACACACGAAACAGGGTCGGGTTTGTGAAGGGAGCATAACGAAAGGAAAGGTGCAAAGCTGGAAAGATGCAGAGAAAGGAAGAGGACAGAGGCAAGTGGAGACCCAGCCGTTAGTATTTGGAAGTCTTAACAACCGGTGGACGATGGAGACATCTTACACTTACTCTACTCAAGAGCTATCTTACTCAAGAAAGTATTCTGATCAGATAAACGACAGTCTGATGAGGCACCTGGAAATTTGTGTACAACTTGCTTTTGTACTTGTTTAATACTAATGTTATGCACTCGCATTTCTTCCACGAACTTTCTGTTCCATCCATTCAATGCCCGTTTGTAATTTATACTCATTTTATTGAATTTGTGATCATTCAGTACATCACATTCACACATCTACCAGCGATTTATACTCATTTAATCGCTGTCCGAAAATTCATTCATGCTCGACCCGTTTAAAACATTCAATCACTGCCAGAGAATTTATTCATTCATTGTCTAAACGGCTGCTGCTGACGTCACATCTCCACACCGCGGCTGCGCGTAGATCGGGGGAGAAATCACGTGACATGACGTAGCTGATCACGTGTATCTGCCCACGCGCGAATGAGAGGTGTTTGTGTGATGTCATACTACTCTCCCTCTTTCTCTCTCTCTCTCTCTCTCTCTCTCTCTCTCTCTC